TAATCAGTAACGACATTCTTAATTATTTGTGGTTTTTCCTTAAACATAGCTTCGTTTTTTTTCCCCACTCTATGAGTCGAAATATTTTCAGTGTTTCCCTGAATGTATTTATTCATTTGTTCTCAGCCAAACATTTATTATAGAGTAAAAAAAATCCATCTGTTCTTTGCATTAGCTGCTGACAGACGAGGAAAACAGCTTCTAACAAATGTACGTTGTTGTGTCCTATACGGCCCCGAGTTGTCAGTAAACTGTGAAGAGGAAACCTTTTGGCCATGTGGACACCACTGAATGGCACTATCGCCACAATAACACCAAGCTGTGGAGGGTGGGGGGGGGCAGTGGAGGGGCGGGGGTGTCTACAGCCTCCCCCCACCAAATGTTAGAGCAGGGACATCCAGAGGAGTGAACTGTCAGTGAGTAGGTAGTTAATTAAGAAGGAAGCAGTCTGGGCTGCTTTCATTAGGAAGGATGTGGTTTGTGGAGCACGGTTAAATGAGGGCGGATGATTAAGAAAAAAAAAAACATCAAGAAGAAGAAACAGACACCTCAGACAGAACCGTCTGGGGGGGGTAAACACCAGTGTGAATGAGTTGAACTGCAGCGACCCCATTTCCCCCTGTGACCAGTTACAGTTTCTTCATTTTATTTCTTAACACAGTGGAAGGTGTTTAGAGCAGAAAAACCTGGGCTAAATTAACTGTCCATTTCTGAGGCCTTTTGATCTTTTCACAATGACACCATTTTTTTTTCCATAGCGCGGAACTAAGTGAATCTTTTCTAATTAGGACCTTTTTCCACCGGTCCTCCAATTAGCAGCACTTCCTGAACAATTTCTGCCCGCTCAGTGAGGTAGCCTCTGGGAGACAAAGACTGGTTTAGACCTAATTAAACTGAAGGTTTGTTGGTGGCCCTGGAGACCTGGTTACAGCAGAGGTGGAGGGAGTAAATCTCTGGAATTCAACAAAAATAAGAAAGAAAATAAACGTATGTCTGGGGAAAAAAAAAAAAGTTTCTAGTGGAGTATAAGTTTCAAAGAACCTGAGGCAATAAAAAGATAAATGGATTCTAGTGGGTGGGGGGTTGGAAAACATGCAGTGTTACATCCTACAGATAATATGTGTTGTTTGGTGCAGTTAAAGTGTAGTTTGTATTTGCCAAGGAATGAAAATTATAATCATAATAATCATCATAGTAAAACCACAGATTGAAATCCATAAAAATCAAATTAATATGGTTGAAGAACGACTATCAACTACGACTGACTAATCATCACGGCACACTCAGAATGTCGTTGGTTCCTCGTCTCTAAAAGATACTTCATCTGAATAACCTCTTAGACAAAAGTTTATATTGCACTCCATACCAGTAGGTGTCAGTAATGAACACAGTTTCATTCAAGCCATTGGTTTTATCTTGCCGTTGAAATGCTATCAAACACATGTGAGAACACAGTTCAAAGAACCGATGGCGGCGGCAGAACCAAACGCGATGCTGAGACAGAGAGCTGATAAGACCGACGAGAACAAAATCAAATGTATGTCACGCTTGTCTCGTCTGATTTAAACTTCTAGCATCTGTTTGAGTATAAAGGCAAAACTGTTCATTTGAAGATGAAGTTCTCATTATTAGCGTTCGCCCTGCAGCAGTTTCCAGATGATCCAGAAGAGAGTGCTAAAACTGGGTCTTTACCGTGAAATTTGATTTTTCTTTTCCTGTCAGATTCAGAGGCCGGTAAAGACTGCTGTGTTAGCAGACGTCACAACACTCCACCATCACTGCCGCTTAACATATATGGAGCTACAGAAGCTTTAACTCGACAACATCGTTCTGTTTCCGGTTTAAAAACCATGTTTTCCGAACAATACAGGCTCAACTCAAGGAAACTAGCTGCAGCCATTCATTAATCTCTTGGCCTTTTCTTTAGAGACAAAGTTTGTCGGCTGTTGCTGAGACACTGCAGGTGATTCAAGTCTACCTTCAAGGTAGTCGTTTATTTGGATTTTGCTGCCAAAGAGCCTTCGAGCACATGATTGCCACGTGCAATCTCCTGACTTCAGAGCTAGAGGAATTCACAGCTTGATGATGAGTCTCCCCCAGTGTGGTTTGTGGTTTTTGATTAGCATCATTGCATCATTCCTGTGAGCTTTAATGAAATGTTGCTTTTGGCCCCTTGACTGGATAAGACCTTGGAAATGATCTGTGTTTACCATTTATTCTTCAGTTTTAACATTTCTTAGAACAACATGACGTGTTGCTCACTATCTTTGGGGGGGGGGGAAATAAACCAGTTCAGAGGCTATAACAGTGTGTGTGTCTGTAGGGGGAGCTGTTTTGAAATGGCACCTTACAGGAGCTCATGCTAAGACTTTTAGGTCATTTTGATGCCCAAGGGTAAATGAGGGATTGGAACCTGCACCCCATATGACACACCTTTAGGGTTTAATTGTCGGGTCAAACACAACAACACACGAACAAAGACACTGAAATATAACAATTAATAATAAAATACATCAAATCTGATCAAATTAAAAACAGCGTCTAATAATAAAATACATCAATTATAAAATCTGATCAAATTAAAAACAGCGTCTTTGTTTTCAAGTTCAGGCAAAATATTCAAAAAGCCTTGACTGCCAAGGTCATTAAAAAGTGCTGCGATCAAACAATTCACAGCAGCGCAGTTAAACACAAAGAAGGAAGACAAAAGCTGCCTGTTCACTTCAGAGTCTCGTGACAACAATAACGTTTTCCTCTTTGTATTAAGACTTTTTTTTCTGAAGGGTTCACAGCGTATCCCCCTCCAACGGATGGCAACTAAGGAGCGACTTTTTTTCTGAAGGGTTCACAGCGTATTCCCCTCCAACGGATGGCAACTAAGGAGCAATTTTTTTATATGTTGACCCTTGAAAGTTGGCTATTGTATTGGATGGAACTGTTTGTAAAGTGACAGAGAGCTAGTCCAGCCAGTGGAGGCTGTTTCCTGCCTGTTCTTCTCTGTAGTTTGTGAATGGTTATCCTTGGATGTGACTGTGAGGGGAACGGTTTGTCTCCGTATGTTAGATTTGTTGTAGACTGACGACTTTTCGTGTCAGCTACTGTAGGATCGGCTCCAGGTTCCACAGTGAATCTCTATCACTGTGTGAGCCGTGATGACAAATGAATGGATCTTCTCAAATGAGTTCAGTCCTGGGGGTGTAAACTTTATGACATCAGCCTTTTGTTTATGGATGGTACTCAGTTTTTACTGGTGTCTCCTCCATAAACTGTATATAAAAGAAATAAACACAGCCATCTGGATGCATTACCCTGACAGAATGTAAGGCCTTCAGATACCCAACTGAAAATGCCATGTTTGTTTTAAGGCCAGATGTTGCAGCTGTTCCTTGAGTGTAGGCCTGACACGGCCAAGTGTCCCACACCTTCATTATAGAGACATCAGATGTGACTGTACTGTGGTAGTTATGTAGGTGGACAGACAGACAGACAGGTAGGAGAACTGATGGATGGGTAAATTGTTGGGTGGTAGGTTGGTGGATGGACAGACAGATTTTTTTAAATTGACTATTATTGTTGTTGTTGTGGTTGTTGTTGTTGTTGTTGTGGTTGTTGTTGTTGTACACATGCATATTGTTAGTCCAGAAAACTGCTGACTCCACTGGCTCACTGATATTATTAGATGCACACTCAACCCATCAATCAGGAAATTGCAACTGTGTTAATTGCTCTCCCCACACAGCAGGGGGGGCATGTTTGTAAACAAAACTGTTGCAAACTTTTCCTTTTATATATATATATATATATATATATATATATATTTAATTTCAACTGTCTGCCAAATGAAAAAGTTCAACCAGCGCTGCTCCTAATGACAGCATCTGACATCGAAGTCACAGAAACAGGACCGTGACACGCACACCCCGCTACTCTCCCGTGGAAACACTTGAGGAAACTGCTGCAGGTGAACGTGACGACGGCAGCGAACAGAAGCTCACACCTGGACAACACTGACCGCCGCCTCCACCTTTGTCTAAACTCATACAGCCATAAATCGGGCCTTTGTGCAGCGGCGTGAGGAACCGAACGGGAGTCAACAGCGGATGCGCGAGAGCGTCCGTGTGTATTCACAGCTGTGACACTGCGATTTTTCACATGTGGCACCGGCGGCAGACACAGACAAAAGAGCGCCTTCAACTCTGTCTGCCTCGGTGTCATCATCTCCTCCACGTTGCTTCAGTCTTTCCTTTTTTGGGGGGGGGTTGAGGGGGGGTGCGTCTACGCACAAAAAGCGCCCCAACAC